CTCAAGAAAATAACATTCATTCTCTGTGACTTTGAAGTATGCAGAGTAAAACCAAGTTCAACTTTCTTAGAATGTTACCAGAAACTCTTGCAACTTTTTCTTTAATTCTGTCAGTGATGAACTGTATGGTCACAAGTCAGAATAGTTATCTGGTATATTCTACTCTGGTTAATCTACAGTCTTCAAGTGGCAGTTTGAGTACATGCACACTAACTGCTCCCCAGGAATAAGATGAGCAATTTCTTCCCATGTGATTTACAGCCTCTGAAAACTTGCTGAAGGGTCAGCTATGAGTCCGTTCTGACGGCAGAGCAATGAACAACAAAACAATAAAGGAAAGAAGGAGTCTTGATGCCACTCTCCTAAAAAGTGGTGCTGCTAAACCAAAGGTGGCAACTCTCTGGTGGTTCAAATTCACCAGCACTGGTTCGAACCCATCACTGTGTGGTGAAAGGTGGGCAACTCCTTTGTGTGGGATTCACAGCCTTGGAAAATCCACTGGAAGGTTAGCTAGCAATGAGTTTGAGTGTCTGCAGAAGGAGAAAAAGATCATGAGGAGTATCTGTTTAGATTGTAAAAGGTGGTGGTGGTGGTTGTTGTTACTCATGGCATTAGAGTAGATATTTTACTCCTGGTGACTCCCTGTGGATCAGAATAGAAATGCACTGCACAAGATTTCCAATAATTGCAAGCTCTTGGAAGTAGACAAACATGTTTTCTTCCTTCTTTTGGGTTCGTTCAACTGGCCAAGCTTTTGGATAGTATTCAAGTGCTTAACTGCTTGCACCACCCAGGCTCCTCTAAAACTATATTTTTGTTTGGATCATCTGAAAAATGGATCACATTTTGTTTCAGGAAATTATGCTCTATTTAGAAAGAAGTCTGCATGCCAAAAGAACATGCTGCTCATATAAATAACGATGATGTCATTTTAACATTCTCATGAAAGCTATAAATGTTCTACCTCAAGGTAAACATTTTAATTAGCTGGAAAAGTTATTTTTCTTAACACTACTAACTCCTCGGCCCACCACCTCCTCCTCAGATCTGCTAAAATGTACCACATATAAGGAGGACAGAGTAGAAGCTCATGTAATGCATGACGGATGAAGACACCAGGCAGAGACTACAGAGGGGGATAAAATTGTCCTTGTAAGTGCGAGCACTTCTGCAGAACAATTAACTTAATTAACCAGACATCATGAATATTCATAAGGCTGTTAATGTCTCCCACATCCAAACAGATAAATGTGATGTAATGACTTCCTAGTCAAGCATATCTAAAATTCTCATGAAAACTGCACCTATACTTTGGTTCTTTGCCTGAAGTATCATCGAAATTAACAGTCCCACGGCAATATTTTATTCTCCTTAAATTAATTGGAAAGCATGAATTTATTTATGCAAACTCTATAGGAATATAAGGTTCACAATCATCAGTATGTGGTGGATTGAACCTTGTTTTACAACAGCTGGATTGCTTTTTTATTTTTATGTGTTCTCAGGCTTTTTACTCTGCTCTTCCTCCCCATATCCCCTTAATCAGAATCTCTCTGTAGTTACACTGCCCCAGTTCCCATAGCAACAAACACCATTACTAATGGCCAGCAGTTCAAATACAGCCTTCCCCAGATCGGAATCATTTGTGTCTGACCGTAATTCAGAGGCTTAGTGGAGTAATTTACTAAACATTTTCCCTCTGGGCATTTCTCTCCAGGAGGCAAATGGCTGCAAAGGCAGACTGTCTGCTTGTGTTTGGAAGCTTGGAAATGTCCCGCCTAGCTCCTATTTCCATTCTTATCAAAGCCTTGACTAGGTATGTTGTTGTCGTTATGTAGCATCATGTATAACTGACCCTCCAGCATATTTTCAGAAGCATTAAATTGTCTCTGAGAAGACTGCCCATCTTTCTCCCACAAAGCAGCGAGTGAACTGAAACTGGCTGCCTTTAAATTGAAAGCACAACTTCTTACACTAAGGCACCAGAGCTCCTTCTGACTAGGTATGTTGTTGTTGTTGTTGTTGTTGTTGTTGTTGTGTACCTTCAAGTGGGAAACAACCCATAGCTGACTGTCTGGTAGGTTTTCAGAGGCAGTTAATCAAAAGGGAGATGATTGTTCATCCTTCTCCTGTGAAGCAGCTGGTGGATTCAAAATGCATGCCTTCGGGATTGCAGCACAGCTTCTTACCATTAGACCATCAGAGTGCCTATAGAGTCCTCATATTAAATACTTCCCATACACAATTTCGCCTCTTAGTGGATAAAGCCAATAAACTGGATCGCCTGTGTAATCACTGGAGTTTGTGTACTATTCTAAACAAAAGCCTTAATAAGGCATCTCTACTAGATCTACTGTGTATATACAATGTTTTCAAAATCAGAAAGCTTTCTTTAAAAGCCTAAATATCAGTCTTTGCAGCCAATTCTGGTGACCTAGTGGTAAGAAGTTGCACTGGCAACTCAACGGCACACGGTTCAAACTGACCAGCAGCTCTATGGAACAAAGATGGACAATCTCCTCCAGTGCGACTGCCTCTGAAAAAACCCCAGAGAGTCAGCAATGAGTCGGTTGAGATGGTATGTATCAACAACACTGTTTTGGAGAAAGTGCAACTAAGGTGCTCCTTTGAGGCAAGGAAGGTGAAGCTTTGTCTCACACACTTGGGAATGTTGTTAAGAGAGGCTATCCCTTGGGAAGGGACATCATGCTTGGAAAGGTGGAGGGTCAGTAAAATAGAGGAAAACCCTCAACCAGAGGGATGGACACAGTGGCCACTGCGATAGGCTCATCGGCTCAAGTGTGTCAGAGATGATGAGGGCACAGAATAGGACAGTGTTCAGATCAATTATTCATAGGATCGCTATGAGCCTTAACTCAACAGCGGTAAAAACAGTAACAACCCCATCGTATCAAAAGACCGCCTGTAAGAGCACTCATCTTTTCACTTTCGATGCCTAACAGTTCACGAATTATCTGAGGAGAAGCAATAGTGATTCAAGCACACCTACATCACATGGAGGGAAACTTTGTAAAAGTTCCATCCTCATGGTCAGAGCAACCAAAATTACAAAACAAGGTCTAAGTGCTGGCCCCAAATCCCTCCCTCTCTATACTTCCTTTGAGTAATATCGTTGTCTCATTTTCCATACATTTTAAAATTGTGATATATCACTACCATCTTTCTCTTTTCACATTTTTGCCTTTATGGGAGGCTTTATACACTAAATACTGATTTTGATATCTTTATAGTCCAAAAACATTTTTTCTTTGCAGGTAAATAACAATATTAAATATACTGAATTATCAAAGCAATAGAATATTGATATTTTTCACCATGTGCATTATTTTTTGTTTTCATAGGAAAAAATCTACTTATATTTCAGATATAACAATGTGTCTGATGTTTTAAAAACAAAAGAAATACCAATTTAAATCACTGTTGCTTATTTATCAATGGTACACAACAATAGCTGCTTATTTAAATAACAATTTGAAATGAGCAGGGTTTGTAAGGTAATAAACTCTATTTTCCCACTCTGGTCTCTAGCTCCTCCTGCACACTTTTTATAAACATGCACCATTCTGCCAAGTGGAACCTCCTAGAATAAGCTCCCACCTATTTCCTAATACTCTCCTAAAAACTGTCAAGTCAGAACTGACTCATAGCTGACCCTCCAGTAGGTTTCCAAAGGCAGTAAATCACACAGGAGGAGACTGCCTATATTTCTCCCAAAGAGAAACTGGTGGATTTGAACCACATATCTTTGGCTTGACAATATAATTCCTCACCAGTAAGCCACCAGAGTCTGTTGACAAATACAACACAGACCCCTAACTGTAGCATCCAAGAGCCTCCAAGGCTCAGAAGTTACATTATAACCTTCCAAGGAACGGCCATTTTTCTATTCCTCAAGCGCGCCAGTGTTTTCTTGCCTTTGCTTTTATTATTGCTGCTGCCAAGAAAGTAACTCGCTCTCATGCTCCTAAAGCAAATCAAATTTATTTAGAGGCATAATTCATGCACTACACTCTCTATAAAGTCTTCTTTCTGCTAATTAATGTAACAAAGTCTATTTTACTCTCTGTTGTGTCTTATTCTAAATGTTCTAGATAACAGCAGTGAACTAAAAAAATGCTCAAATTCACTGTAACTGAATTGGAATAAGCTCAAAGCTGACCATCTATTGGGTTTCTAAGGCTTTAAATCACACACATGTCCCTACAGAGCTGCTGGTGGATTTGAACCACCAGAGAGGTGTAGTTTCTGAGTTAACAGTGCAACTCCCTATAGACTCCTTCACTAGAGCAACCCAAGAGCAGTGAATAAAAAGAGAGATGCCGGAACAAGACCTAAGCCAGCATCTCTGAATTGCCTGTATCTGGAAAGCTGGGCCTTTAACATAAGGTCACAGTCCAGTCTGACAAGCCCTGGTCCAATGTGGTAGTCACTGAAAGGGGAATATTATACACAGGCCTGTACAATGACCATAACACTGGGGAGGAACGCATTTCTCAGACCGTCAACCATATGAAACCAAGAGGGCAGCGTCTGCTCAGTGCGTGATGACCGGGGAGGCCCCAGGAAGGCCGCACACCCAGAGCGTGGAGTTGGTGTCACAGAAGTAGGAGATTCATCAGCCAGTACTCCACTCCCCATTCTAAGACTTTGGGTAGAATACTACTTTCATTTATTAGTTGTTTATGTGTTAAACTTTTCACATTCACATACACACACACACACACACACACACACCCTAATGTTATAATGAAATAAATAAGCATTGTATCTTTTTTACTGATTGTAAAAAAGAAAGTTCCATAAGACTAAGTAACTTGCCTAAAGTTTCTCCTATTTGCTACTAAAGAAGCCATAGTTTAAGCCTGGATCTTTCACAGTCTGTACTGTCAGCTGCACGTCATACTGTCTGGGTTAGGAAGTCAGAAAAGGAAAGATGGGAAGGGAAGTTCAGTATGACAATTCTGTAGTCGCTGCGGTACCTGCGGGTATTACTCCGAGAGGAAGCTGTGCCCTGACTGGGGTCAGGAGGCAGTCTGTGTCCACGCCGGCATTCTTCTGGGCTCTAAGAAGCAAAGCGTGGGCAACTTCACTGGCAGATCCATCTCCTCCAACACAGACAACTCTAGAAAACAGAAATAACAAAAGGAGGGCAATTCTCAAAGTAATTGGGAGTCACTCATGAAATCTAGGCTTCAAAATGTTTATGTTAATCTTATATATTAATGATTACTCACATGCTCAAACATTATTTTTCATGTGAGTAAATAAAAAGCCACCAGCACTACACAGGTACATTTTAATTTACAAATAGAATATCTAGGAAAGCCAGATAAACAAAATGTTTTAAAATAGGTTAACTTCTTAACTCTTGTTAAGTGCCAGCTGAAATTATTTGCCCTATTAATAAAAAAATGGGTTAATAATTTGAATACATTAACTCAGAAACAACCTGCATGCTGCTCCATTAATGTCTAAAACCATTAGTTGTTATTTTGGTTGTGTTAATATACTTTCATTTGTAATTCATCTGACAACACAAATAAAATCCTACAAATTCTCAAGTCAAAAAGACATTTAAAAAGCCACATAAAATATGGAGACTTAATTTAAATACTGTTGATAATTGTTAGCCTATGAATGTATTAATTACACACCTGAACTAATATTCATTTCCTTGACAGAATGCTGTATGACACTTTTAAAATTAGTGTTACCTTTTTATCCTAGTTAATTCTGCTAATGTTATTAAGATCTCAGGACTAGTAATAGATCTATGTTGTTGTGTGTGCTGCGAGTCAAAACTGACTCACAGTTAACCTTTGAAAGAGTTTTTAGAGGCAGTAAATTGCACAGGAGGAGACTGCCCATCCTTCTCCTGTGGAGCAGCTTGCGGATTCGAATTAGTTGCCTTTCGGATTACAGCACAGATTCTTATCACTAGGCCACCAAAGCTCCTATAAAAAGGCCTGTTTTTCATTCTTTTTGTTCAGACAGTCTTCTAGGTTGTATAGCCCTGGCATGTCCACTTGCTGTACAGAGGTAACTTGTGGTTGCTGTGGGGCTGAACACTGTGACACTTGATGTGTTAAATGTGATAACGGTTACCCATGGTGGTCAGTGTTTGGTGGCACTCCCCGGTTGATACAAGTTTGGAAGCAGGAGTGGCATCCACTTCCGTAAATAACTTGCCTTGGGAAACCCTATGAACCTGGAAAAAGGATGAAAGTCACGCATGCAAGTGTCGAGGACTTTCATTCACAGGGTCGCTTTGAGTCACCTACGACTCGACGGCACTTAACAACAACAACAAATTTTATCTTACTGAAGAATACATATTCTTTCTTTAATTTTAAGTCTTGTTTTTATCTAAAAATTGTTAGATGAGTTCCTAAGCACTCTTGTCGACAATGCCTTTGAATTATTATGTTGGAGAAGAGCACCGAATATCCCAAGGGCTGCTAAAAGAATATACACGTCTATTTTGGAGGAAGTGCAGCCAAGGTGCTCCTTAGAGGTAAGGGTGGTGAAACTATGTCTCCGGTACTTTGGGAATGTCGTCAGAAGGGGCCAAAAAAGGGATATTATGCTGGGAAAGGTCGTCCAAAAGGAACAAGACCATCAGTAGGAGGAATTGACACAGTGACAGTAGCAAGGGGCTCCAGCATATCAGAAATAGTGAGGATGCTTCCGATCTTTTGTCCATAGGGTCGTAATGAGTTGTAGTTGACTTGATGGCACCATCACTAACAATAACCCACCAACAGATGTCGAGAGCCAAGAAGAGATACTTCAGGCAAAGTTCTCACAAGAATATGAGCTTTTTCCTTACCAGAATACCTAAGATCCTTGGGATGAAGAATACTTTAGAAAGAATACCTTAAATCTTTTCTGTGTTTCTTAAAATGTATCCCTGTAGCCTCTCTTCAAAAAGCTTTAGAGACAGGAACCTTGCCAATACAGGGTATTCCATTTTTCACATTTCTACCAGTTGGAGAAATGTTCTTTTGAAATTCCTTAAGACGCTATCTTTCCATTGTTCCTTTCATATACGTCTATGTGTAATTTTAAATAACGTCACATAAAGGTATTACTTTATTATGGTTGTTATGTTAGGTAGGAGCTATATCAGCTCCTACAGGAAAAGCTCACAGAAATATATCAGCTATTTAAAGGATCTTGGAATGTAAGTAACTTTCAATAGAAGTTTAAAGTATTATAAGTCTTAAATTCAGCATTCTTTAGAGATTTAGATTTTATCAGCTTTAGTTTGCTTGGCTCCACAATCAGCACTCTTGGTACCAGCAGCCAGGAAATCAAGAGACGAATTGCATTGAGAAAGTCAGCTGTGAGGGACCTCTCAAGAGTACTGAAGAGCAGTGATGTCTGTCTGGAGACTAAGTTGTGCCTGATCCAGGCCAGAGTCTTCACAATTAATTGCTGTGTGTCAGAAATCTGGACAATGATTAGGAATGATAGAAGGAGAATAGATACCTTTGAGCTGTGGTGCTGGAGAAGAGTATTGAACATACCATGGACTGCTAGGAGAACAACAAACAAGTTAGTCTAGATAGGGTGAAATCAGGCTCCTACTTGGAGGTAATGATTCTGAAGCTTTGTCTGACATACTTTGGGAACGTTGCAAGGAGTGGCCAGGAGAGGGACATCATGCTTGGAAGCGTGGAGGCACAGCACAAGAGAGAAAGACTCTCAATGAGATGGCTTGATTGTGACTGGGGTAATGGGGGTACATGTGTCAGAGACAATAAAGTTGACACAGGATAGAGCAGGGTTCAGAGCCATTGTACATAGGGTCACTATGAGTCACAAGTAACTTGACAGCACAGAACAACAACAATTCATATAATGGTTAAGTCAAAACAGTTAGGGTTAAAAAAAAACACTGGTAAAAACAAGGATTTTCACCACTGGGCAGATTGGCAGCATTAAGATAGATCGTGACGAGATTAAATTTTTAATAGTTTTAGTTTGTTTGGTTTCACAATCAACACTCTTGGTACCAGAAGCCAGGAAATCCAGAGATGAACTGTATTGAGAAAGTCGGCTGTCAGGGACCTTTACAGAGTACTGACAATTCTGGAGACTAAGGACAAACAGGTTAGTCCTAGAGAGGGTGAAGCCAGGCTACTCCTTGGAGGCAAGGATTCTAAGGCTTCATCTGACATACTTTGGGCATGTTGTGGTCCTTAGAAAGGGACATTATGCTTTGAAGAGAAAAGTGAAAGAGAAAGAGAGGGAGACCATCAATGAGATGGATTGATACAGTGACTAGGGTAATGAGGATGGGTGTGTCAGAGACAGTAAAGTTGGCACAGGATAGAACAGGTTTCAGGGCTGTTGTACATAGCGTTGCTGAATCAGAAAGGACTTAACAGCACATAACAACAACAACAAAATCTAATATATTTAAGCCTCAAAGTGCAAAATAGCAATACATTGATAGATGAAACAAAATTCTCAGTATTGCGCTCACAAAAAAAGCAAACATCCTTTGGTGTTGCAGAATGTTGGGGAGAAAGGGAGGGCCTCTGGCCAGGACAGATCGCCTAAGCTCCGGATAAGTGCAAGCCTCCCAACGGCCTTTAATACGGGTAGAGAAAGCTCCCCTGTGTTTGGCTGTACCGCCTTTAGAAAGCTCGCCACCTGGGAAGACGGCTGCTGCATCTGTTAAGCTGGAAGTGGTCTGCATGAGGCCGAGGTTCTCCTGACCAATCCACATGTCCCACGTCTGTAAGCTCACCCTATCCTGTCTTCCTGTTTACATGCTTGTATATAAGTGCACTGCAGAACCCAGGAAAACTGAGCTGGAGTGACTCTCTGATCCTCTCCCGGAGTGGTGTATATCTATTATGCTTACCCCCACCAAGGTGTTGCTGTTAAGCTGCCTGCAAGCAGACAACGACACTTTGGTAAAGGGGAAATATTTTTCTATTGCACAAGAGGGAGCTCTGGTGACCTAGTGGGTAAGAAGTTGCTCTGACAACCCAAAGGTAGGTGGTTTGAATTCACCAACTGCTCTAAAGGGAAAAGATGAGCAAACTTCTCTAGCGTGATTTACAATCTCTGAAAAACCACTGGAAGGTCAGCTATGAGTCAGTTCTGACTCCACAGCACATAACAACACAACTGTGCTTGAGTAATATTCTTTAGTGTATAAACTGCTTAATAATTGCCAGACAGCTATTAGTTTTATTACCAACAGAATATAATTAGGAAAACTACATCTAGTAGAACACTTCATAAGGCTGCAGGGCAATGCCAAGCAAATATCTGTGGTATCCATTAATATTTTTAATATAATCATTTTGAAGCCAGCACTCATTTGTAATGCAGTCAGCCTCATACACTCACAGGCTGGTTGGGGTTAGGGAGTGTATTAAGGTTGATAGCTCCAGGACATGCTTTCCCCTGATTACTTTTCTTAGTATGAGAGAGCACAACAGTGCCCTAAATATAACCTATTCATCCTGTGTCTGCCTCTAAGTAGAGAGCTCTGAGGTAATCTCTATATCACACTTCTCGTCCTTACTATTTACATAATTTTTTCCATCTAGATTTACTACTTTCCATTAAATTCTCCCTCCCTCTAGGACCATATTTTATCTATCTATTTTGTTCAACAATTCCTATTTTTTTTTTCATAAAATAATTAAGAATATCTTGAAAACAATTCCGATGTTATTCCCTGTTGCTTGTATTACAGCTCATTTGGAAGGTTAAAACCTTTCATACCTATATTCTAGAATAGATTTGTGTATACCACCCCCTCACTGACCCCAAGTTATTTGCACAATGACGTTCCATTATATTCATCTATGTCTCTTACACATATATTTGGCGAAAAGGATGTTTAGCATTTGTGCTCTACTTCAAAACAGGCCTTGATCAGAAAAATGTGGTATATAAGGGTCTAAACTATTCAATGAGTTTCTAGTTATCTCTTTATTGTTACTTAAGTACCTTGTCAACTTCTGTCATTAATTCACTGGACTGTAATTCCCTATAAATAGGATCACTCTCATATGACTGACTCTGTAACAAGTACTTTGTCCTTTGCTGGCATGCTGTTATAGGCCTAATAAATATTTGATTATGTGATTGGTTTAAAATAAAAACAACAAACCAACAACAAAAAAACCCACCTTTCCTGTGTCTGAAAGGCCCAAATGCCCTTTCTAATTTCTTGTGGCTTAGTGTTAAGGAGTTGTACTGCCAACCAAAAGGCATGCAGTTCGAATCAGCCAGCTTCTCTGTAGGAGAAAAAAGGGCAATCTCCTCCCATGTGATTTACTGACACTGAAAATCCACTGGAGGGTCAGTTATGAGTCAGTTCTGAGTCAATGCCACATAACAACAAACAATCGATAGTGGAGTTCCGCACCCCCATCACTAAAGGATATAAATAATTGCAATACTTGCCACATTCAAATATCTATTATTGAAAAAAAAAATCTTCCCTGAGGTATTTTTTTTAGTACTTTAAAAAAATTTCACCTAATTTTTTAAAAGAACTATTAAAGTGTATGTAACTTGCTTTGTTTCTGCTATTTATACAACAGTTAGAAACCCCTAAGGAGTCCAAAGGGCACAATAGTTAGAAATCCCTCCATGGCTAAAAAAAAAAAAAGTTGGCAGTTCAAATCTACCAACTACTTTGTGGAGGTAAGATGAGGCAGTCTCTTTCCATAAGGATTTACAACCTTGGAAGCCCAAATCTTATCAACTCAAGTGTGTCAGAGATGATAAGGATTGCACAGGATAGCACAGAGATCAGGGATAGGTAGGTAGGTAGATAGGTTGTTGTAAGTGTTGTGAGTCATAGAGGACTCATGTTGTTGTTGTTAGGTGTGGTAGAGTCTTAGACGACTCATAGCGACCCAGTGAAGGAAAGGCTTGAGCACTGTTCATAGAGTTTCTGGAGACAAGGCTTTTCAGAAGCGGATGCCACTCCTGCTTCTAAGCTTGTTTTGATTGGGCAGCTCCACCAGACAATGTCCACCACGGGTAACCATTATAGCATTTGACACATCAATGTCAAAATGTTTAGCATCACAGCAACCGTGAGTTACCTCTGTACAGCAAATGGACAGACCAGTGCTATACCCCTTAGAAGAATGTTTGACCAAAAAATGATTAAAACCAGGCCTGAGGGCCACAGATTAAAAATCACTCACCTTTGGCTTGGTAGCATGAAAATTATGTAAGTGTTCAAATCTTTCATTTATAGGGTTGCTATGAGTTGTCTACGACTCGACAACACTTAACACAACAACAGAGCTTTGTTGGTCTAGTGGGTAGAAAGTCACGCTACAAATCATGAGGCTGGTGAAGGATAGGACAGAGTTCAGTTCTGTGGTTCACAGGGTCACTGTGGCTCATACTCAACTCAATGACACCTAACAACATGAATTAATTAGTGAAAGTGTAATCATTAATATTATAAATACTTAAAATTCTTGACCCCAACACATAGCTAATGACTTAAAAATATTTAAAGGCATAAACTATATGACATTTAGAGATAATATAACCTACCCATCAAATCCTTCAAGTTCACATTCTTTAAGCAGTGACAGAGCATGGCCTTCATATTCTGTTACTAATGGGAGAGAAAAAGCATAAAAGTGAAAGTTTGAAACAATGATGTATACTTTTTTACTTGGTTTGGCAAAATAATACGATAAACATATGGTAAGTCATAAAACAACATTTATTCCTGAATACTTATATTTAATCATGGAAAGAGAATTAAGTGTTAGCTGCCTGAAGTGTATTATAGCTTTATGTAAAAGAGGGTCATATATTTGCTCCAACTACATCATTCACTTGGGAATATTCCACTACATAGCCATTAGGTAATTTATCTTGGTGCCTGTCTGTTTCCTGTTCTCTAAACATGACACATTTTCTTTAAATCAGAATCTGAGGAGCAGCAGTATTTTGAAAATAAGGCATATTAGCTGGCATCAAACAGTCAATGGTAAATTGCTTTGGCAACCTTAAACAAGTAAATTAGTTGAAAGGTTAGTGTAAGATTTACATGCTTGAAAAATGTGTATCTGGAACTGTAAGACTTAAAAGAGGAGGAGTTGGATGTGAAAATACGAAGTGAAGCCAACACCAAGACAATAGATCCAAGCCCAAGGAGGAAGGTGGCACACAGGGCACTCGAGCCCAGATCCTTGGAGGGAATGAATCTGTCACTCTGTATCGCTGTCTCCACAGTCACTGATGCCCAATGCAGTGTTATAAATGCCAGTGAGGACAGGATAAACTGGCACACTGCAGATGGTACCAAGCATCGCAACCACACTTAGCGTTTTCTAGGGTGTCTCTGCCAGAAGAGACAGCCCAGCTGTATCCACCCATCAAAGATTTCTCCTGACTGACGTGACACTGCAGATGGATTTTTTGTGTAAGAATGTGCTCCATTATAGGCAAGATTGCATTAATCTTTCATGCCTGTCTGTCTCTGGTGCCAGCATGGTTCAAGCTTCTCCTGCAATGTTTTTAGAAATTGTTTAAAATTATTAGTCTTGGTGTCTAAAAGAATCATTCTGTATCCAGCAGTGTTACATTATAATTCTTCAACAGCTCATTCAAAGGCTGGTAATGATCACATGAATAAAACCTAGATTCTAGAAGTTAGAATCAAATCAGACTCTGTAATAAAAACAAATGTAAAATATTAATATTAATAAAGTCTGGAGGTTAACATAAAAGATTGTGAGCTGATCATTTAACAATCTCAGCAAGTAATTGTAACCTTAAAATGAAAAATAAACTATCTTACATACCTCCACTAATAGTAAAGACATTATGAAGAATGTATGCTGAGACTCAAGCTAAGTAAGTCTTGCTTCTATACCGAATTAAAACTTGCTATGGCTTTTCAAATACAAATATAAAACGAACTTAAAATATTATGCATGAAAGCTACTTATGTTTAGGAAAATACATGACTCTCATTTATTATTTCCCTTGACACTTTAGGTGGAATTTGAATATATACTAATTAAAACTGTCCAAGAACAGAAATTTTAAAAGAACATTGTAAAATTTAAATTGAACTCCTGGTATCAGAGAAATTTAAAAAAATATCATAAAAGAAACCTAACCATTTACCTCTATAAAAATGCACTCAAATAGAAGTTGAATAAGTCAGTCACAGAACAACAAATATAAGGTTAGGTAATATTTATACACAGCTAAAGTCATTTTTTGATGATTACAAAGGATGAGAAAGAAGAGAGAAAGGAGTAAAAATTAGTAAGTCAATAAAAGGCACGTGAAAGGAAAAGCAATAATATCCTATATGAAGATGATAAGAAAAACATCCCTAAATATAGGGAAGACAGAGAAAAGTACAAATGGACTGATGGAAATCAGAATGATATTGTGGGTATTGAAATTAATGTTACTGAACAAACTGTGAAAGAACTGTGAAAGTTAAATGTAAATTGCTTTGTAAGCCTTCACTCAAATTATAATAAAAAAATAAAATAAATATTAAAAATGTATTGTCGAGGGCCAGAGAGTCAGAACCATTCCATAAGTGACCCTCCAGTAGGTTTTTAGAGACAGTAAATCACACAGGAGGAGATCTCCCATCTTTCTCCTGCAGAGCAATTGATGAATTCAAATTGTTGCCTATTTAGGCTGGCAGCACAATCAATTCCTTACCACTAAACACCAGAGCTAAAAATGTACTGTTGTTGCTGTGTACAGTAGAGTCAGAACTAACTCATAGCTGACTCTCTGGCAAATTTTCAAAGACAGTTAATTGCATCGGATGAGACTGCCTATCTTTCTCCCATGGAGCTGCTGGAGGATTTGAATGGTGTGCCTTCAGAATTGCAGGACAGCTCCTTGCCACTAGGTCACCAGCCCTCTAAAACAGCATAATGAAAAATGAATAAAGCCCTTGGCTTCAGGGAGAGGAACAGAAAGCAGACATGAATAAAAAACTGAGTATGTAATATACAGGAATAATAATAAGTGCTTGTAGAGAGAAACAATTTAGAGCAAAAATACAGTGTTTTAGACCATACAGTGGTGGTGGCTGTGGATGCCACCAAGTTGAGTACAACTCATAGCAACTCTATGAACAACAGATCTGAATGAACTCTATCCTATCCAGTGCCATCCTCATAATTTCTAACATACTTTACCCCACTGTGTCAATCCATCATCTGGTTGAGGGTCTTCCTCTCTTTTACTGATCATCCACCTTTCCAAGAATGATAGCCCTTTCCAAAAACCAGCCTCTCGTAGTAACATGCCCAAAGTATGTGAGATGAAGCTTCGTCATCTTTGCCTCCAAAGAGCACTCTGGCTGTACCTTCTCCAAGACATATCTGTCTGGTTTGTTTTTGTGGTGTTTTTTTTGTTTTGTTTTGGGTGGGGTTTTTTTTAGTCTGTAGGATATTCATACTCTTTTCAAATACAAATGCTCAAAGGCATCAATTCTTCTGTTATCCTTACTCACTGTCCAGCTTCCAGATGAAAAGCAAATGACTGAAAAGACCATGAAATAAATCAAGTACATCATCATCTTCAAACTGACATCATTGCTACTCAGCAATTCGGAAAGGTCTCTGACATTTCAATGTAATATGTCTCCTCATCTCTTTATTACTTGTACCAAGCACGTTGACTATGGATTTAAGTAACATGTAATCACTGGCAATTTCAGTCTTGTTTCCAATTTTTCTCATAATATAGAGTAGATTCACAATTAAATCAAGCTTGGAAGCAGGAGTGGCATCCACTTCCGAAATGGTTTGCATCTGGAAACTTTATGAACAGTGCTCAGGTCTTTCGTTCATAGGATCGCTATGAGTTGTCTATGACTCAACAGCACTTAACAACAACAACAACACTGGTTTGCTTACAAAGTTTACACACACACACACACACACACACACTGTCACCCCAGATCTCTCCCATTTCCTGTAACCACCTCTCCCTCTACCCATCAATTTGTGCAATCCTCTGATAACCCCCTTCCCATCCTCACCCCTCTGCTTTCACCCTCCCTCCCTTGGATCCTCATACCCATTTCACCAGTTATCTTTCTATTTGTACAATAATGGTCTTATATAGTATTTGTCCTTACGGGACTGAATAACTTTACTTAGCATAATGCATGCCAGTCCCTCCCAAGTTAGGTAGTAATTTTTGAAATCATTGCTCCTGCCTGCTGAGTAGTATTCCATCATGTGAATGTACCACAATTTCTCAATCCATTCAAATGTGGCTGGACTTTTGGGTTATTTCATGTTTTTGCTATGATGAATACTACTGCTCTGAACACTGGTGTGTAAATCTAGATTTGTGTCTCATTTCCAATTTTCTCAGGGTATATTCCAAGCAGTGGAATAGCTGGGTCATATGGAATTTTTATGTTTAGCTTTTTTAGGAAATGTCCAACTACCTTCCAGAATGGTTGTACCATTTTATAATCTCACCAACAGTGTATAAGAGTTTCTATCTCCACATCCTCTCCAACATTTATTAATTGCTCTTCTGTTAAACTTTTCTGCTGCTACTGGGGTGAGGCGGTAGCTCATTGTTGCTTTGATTTCCATCTCTTGTTGTTGTTGTTATGTGCCGTCAAGTCTCTTGCGACTCATAGCAACCCTATGTACAACAGCCCTAAACTCTGCTCTGTCCTGTGCCAATCGCACCGTCTCCAATACACCCATCCCGATTACTCCAGTCACTGAATCAATCCACATCATAGAGGGCTTTCCCCTCCTACGCTGTCCCACCACCCTACCAAGCATGATGTCCCTCTCTGAGCATTTTTTTTGTCCTATTTGTCTGTTGGCCATCCAAATGTCTTCCTCTGTGAAAAGTCTTTCCATGTCTTTTGCCCATTTTGTGATTGGGTCATCAGTCTTTTTCTTATGGAGGACCTGTAGGATTCTATAAACTTTTGTTCTTAGACCCCTGTCTGAGGTGGTAATACCAGATGTTTTTCCCAGTCAGTGGGTTTTCTTTTAACTATGTTGGAAAATGTCTTTGATGCATACAGAGACTTAATATTTAGAAGGTCCCATTCATCAGTTTTATCCTCTCCTGGATGTGTATGTATAAAACTTTTTAATGACTCTCTACTGACCCCAAAAAGCCAGTAATAAATCCCTAACCCAGATCTCAGTGTCAAAGAGACAGGATTGGTCTTGTGCATCTACAGTTACATAAGAAATTTTTGTTAAAATCAGGCAACTTTAGAAGGAGCAATGCCTCAGGCTCCTGCCATTTTCTTAGACTAATTTTTATCAAATTGCCTTATTTTTACCAAGGAGGAACAGGAATGACAAGAGGCATTTCAAGGGGTGGAAATGAAAGAATGTTAAGGAGAACCCTGAAGAGCCAAAGGGAATCAATGAAAATGGATTTGGTAAAATTGTCCAAGTTAGAAGCATGATTTTAGAAGAAGAAAAGAAAAGGACAATAAACCACACTGTCTTGACACTTCTGCTATACAAGAGTTAGAAACTACTTGGTTACTGAGAACTCTCCTGGGCCCTGAAATCTTGACTGCACTCAGGTAAGCTTTTTTTGTCCATGATAATAAAATATGTAGCAGCT